AAAAACTTGTTCCCCTTCTTCTCTTTGGGCCCTTACAACAAATACAGGCCAATTGGAAGATGCGGGCCCCAGTGGCAGAGCCAGGCCCCACAATCACCTGGAATTTAGGCCTAAGACAACTGGGTAGCAATCTCCATGGAACAGAACACACTGTTTTAGAGTCTTAATTCTCCCTTAAAATGTGCTCAGTTGCTCCTCTTTAGCCAGGATAGTATGAACTAAGGAACCAAAGACTGAGTTTCCTTTGAGATGGGATCCCCTGGGGAGTGTGCTGGTGGCAAGGCCCCTCACAGGTGGCTGCCTTTCCCCCAAGCTCTGTGTGCTCTGAGCTGGTCAGTTTCTGGGGATGCCAGGTCCTGGGTTGCTGGTCAGGTGGCAGGTCCACAGGATTTCTCTCTGCCGCCTTCCTGGCCTCCCGAGCAGTACCCTCTGGCCCAACATGCCAGGCAACTGTCACTAGAACCAGGACTCAGAGAGCAAAGGAGCTCACCTGTGCCGAGAGGGACCCACAGGTGGCCAGGCCACCCTCCTCACCCTGTTTCTCAGTCTCGCTTGCGTGGATTGGGCCAAAGCCCGCTGCCTGAAACTGGCACCACGTGGAGAGGTTCTCAGTGGGGAGAAGGGCACCCTGACCTGCCAGCCTTGGTGACGATCATCTCCATGCCCAGCTGATTGAATTTGTCCCACAGAGCCTTCATTGCAAGCTGCACACTCACACTGGCCACCTTTGCCTTCTTCTTTACTAGCACCTTGGCAGAGGCCACACAACTGACCCTGGGCCCTCTGGCTCGGCAGCAGCGCTGGTGGTGGCCCCTGTGGCCAGCCAGCGTGTCATAGTCACTGGTTGTTCTGGTTGTTCTGCAGTAATGGTCCCTGGGCTTTTATTATATAGACTAGAGGCCCGGTGCATGAAATTTGTGCACAGGAGGGGTGTCCAGCCCAGCCGCCTGCACCCTCTCCAATCTGGGACATCCCCCTCACAATCCAGGACTGCCGGCTCCTAACTGTTCGCCTGCCTGCCTGCCTGATTACCCCTAACCGCTTCTGCCTGCCAGCCTGATTGCCCCCTAACTGCTCCCCTGCCAGCCTGATTGACGCCTAACTGCTCCCCTGCCGGCCCAATTGCCTCCAACTGCTCTCCCCTGCCAGCCCGATCACCTCCAACTGCCCTCCCCTGCCGCGACCTGCCTCCTCCATGCAAGGCAGCGGAGATGCTGGGACCGGCCTTCTCCATGCTGCATGGAGCCGCGGGACCCCCAGTCCTCACCGTGTGGAGCAGCCTCTGGGCCCCGCCTCCGCTGTGCGCATGGCCATTTTGTGTTGGCCATCTTTGTGTCAGCCATCTTGTGTAAGCCATCTTGTGGTGGCCATCTTGTGGTGACATGGCACACAAGGTCGCAAGGACCACCTAGGCTTTTATTAGTATAGATTGCACTAGGAGCTAATTCACAGAAGAAAAACAAAGAAAGGATATCCAACCATCTTATAAGATAATGCAGTCAGCATCCTTTCCTTTATATTTGGCTCTTGTGTCACCATAATGAAGAAAGCCCTGTTTGCTTAAATATCTGAGGGCTTTCCCAAGGGGTTTCCTTAATCCTTTGATAGTTAAATCACTCTCAAGAAGCAGCTATTGAGTCATCATCAGTTTCTTTCTGTTGTTGTTAAGTAGGCTAACTCTACTTGTCATTTTCAAGGGTTTTCCTGTCTTATAATGAGTTTCCTTTGAGGTGGATCCACCAGGAGCCGGCTGATGGCAAGACCCCTCAGGCGGCTGCCTTCCCCCCTAAGCTCGGTGTGCTCTGAGCCGGTCAGTTTCTGGCAGTGCCAGGTCCTGGGCTGCTGGTGGGGTGGCAGGTCCACAGGATTTCTCTCTGCCGCCTTCCTGGCCTCCCGAGCAGTACCCTCTGGCCCAACATGCCAGGCAACTGTCACTAGAACCAGGACTCAGAGAGCAAAGGAGCTCACCTGTGCCGAGAGGGACCCACAGGTGGCCAGGCCACCCTCCTCACCCCGTTTCTCAGTCTCGCTTGTGTGGATCGGGCCAAAGCCGGCTGCCTGAAACTGGCACCACGTGGAGAGGGTCTCAGTGGGGAGAAGGGCACCCTGACCTGCCAGCCTTGGTGACGATCATCTCCATGCCCAGCTGATTAAATTTGTCCCAAAGAGCCTTCATTGCAAGCTGCACACTCACACTGGCCACCTTTGCCTTCTTCTTTACTAGCACCTTGGCAGAGGCCACACAACTGACCCTGGGCCCTCTGGCTCGGCAGCAGCGCTGGTGGTGGCCCCTGTGGCCAGCCAGCGTGTCATAGTCACTGGTTGTTCTGGTTGTTCTGCAGTAATGGTCCCTGGGCTTTTATTATATAGACTAGAGGCCCAGTGCATGAAATTTGTGCACAGGAGGGGTGTCCCTCAGCCCAGCCTGCACCCTCTCCAATCTGGGACATCCCTCTCACAATCCAGGACTGCCGGCTCCTAACTGTTTGCCTGCCTGCCTGCCTGATTACCCCTAACCGCTTCTGCCTGCCAGCCTGATTGCCCCCTAACTGCTCCCCTGCCAGCCTGATTGACGCCTAACTGCTCCCCTGCCGGCCCAATTGCCTCCAACTGCCCTCCCCTGCTGCGACCTGACTCCTCCATGCAAGGCAGTGGAGATGCTGGGACCAGCCTCCTCCGCCGGCCTCCTCCGTGCTGCATGGAGCCGCGGGACCCCCAGTCCTCACCTTGTGGAGCGGCCGCCGGGCCCCGCCTCCACTGTGCGCATGGCCATTTTGTGTCGGCCATCTTTGTGTCAGCCATCTTGTGGCGACATCGCATGCAAGGTTGCAAGGACCACCTAGGCTTTTATTAGTATAGATTGCACTAGGAACTAATTCACAGAAGAAAAACAAAGAAAGGATATCCAACCATCTTACAAGATAATGCAGTCAGCACCCTTTGCTTTATATTTGACTCTTGTGTCACCATCATGAAGAAAGCCCTGTTTGCATAAATATCTGAGGGCTTTCCCAAGGGGTTTCCTTAATTCTTTGATAGCTAAATCACTCTTAAGAAGCAGCTATTGAGTCATCATCAGTTTCTTTCTGTTGTTATTAACTAGGCTAACTCTACTTGTCATTTTCAAGGGTTTTCTTGTCTTATAATTTTACATGATCACTTTTATAGACTTCATGAAATCTTGAATCTCTGCAACATTTGTAATTTCACTTTGCAACCATTTAGCATATCATGTTCATATGTTAATGTGGTGCAAATAAATGAGCCACAACTGCCAGGGGTGTAGACCAGAAAGGATGGAGAGAATCTAAGTCTAAGAAATATGGGGGGATGGGAGGGGATAATAGTGTAGGTAGATGGCTTATTAGTAATTATTTTCATATTTTAAAGAATTTTGCTTTGCTATAAAACGTAAAACTGTAGGGATTCAGATAATACATTTTCAGAAAATGTGGGTTCCTGAATAACATAATGATTAAGAGGTGTAGGTAGATGGCTTATTAGTAATTATTTTCATATTTTAAAGAATTTTGCTTTGCTATAAAATGTATAACTTAGGGATTCAGATAATACATTTTCAGAAAATGAGGGTCCCTGAATAACATAATGATTAAGAGTGGAGTTTTGAGATCTTACAGATTTGGGTGTAGCTCTGCCAATCATTTTTAATTTCCCCTGGGCAAGTAGCCTTTCTTTTCTGGTCTTCAGTTTCCTCATCTTTAAAATGAGAACAATATCCTCTCACTGTGTAGTTGGAACAAGCAAAAGTGCACATAATTGCCTAGCCAGCATGGCTTAGTGGTTGATCATCTACCTATGAATTAAGAAGTCAAAGTTTGATTCCTGGTCAGGGTACATGCCCAGGATGTGGGCTTGATCCCTAGTGTGGGGCCATGCAGGAGGCATTGGATCAATGATTCTCTCTCATCATTGATGTTTCTATCTCTCTCTCCCTCTCCCTTCCTCTCTGATATCAATCAAAATATATTTTTCAGAAAGAGCACATAATCTGGTCTTCTTTAGTGATTGAGACACAGGTGCACAAAGATAAAGGATGAAAAAAAGCTGCTATCTACATGTAGAGAGAATAAGTGTTCTAGAGGTTCAGAGAGTAGAAATAATACTTCTGAGGAGCAATGGAAGATGTGAGCTTGAGGCAGGAGCCTAGAGAAGAATAAATAGCATTTCTGTCAGTGTGTGTGTGTGTGTGTGTGTGTGTGTGTGTGTGTGTGTGTGTGGTGGAGGGTGTGGGGAGGTGGTTCATGAGGGAAAAGTGAGGCCATTCCAGGGAAGATGCTCCTTAGATAGAGCCAGTCAGTAACTCAGGGTGTCTTTGGGATATAAGTTTAGTAACATTTGGAGGGGTTTTAAATTTGAATCAATCTGAATTCTCTATTATAAAAGTAGATATATGAAGTTCAGTATTTTTGTATATCAACAGATCAAGTGAGAAACTTTTTCTTGCTTTTTAAATTTATACTTGTAGCACATTTCTTAATCCAGCAGTAATAGTAAAATTTTTCTTTTGGTTTTCATTTGTTTATCAAACTATCTTGGGGCTCATGTTTACCAAACACTGTGCCAGGCTCTGTCCCCTGGAGATCACACACCAAATTCAAGAATTTGTTAATTGTGTGAGAGATAAGAGCAAATCCTAAATCTATGTTTTACTCTATTTTTACATTTTGACAGCCCCCTAGATGAGAGTTCCCCGTTCCATCTATTATTGAGCTTATCGCTGCATTGAGTAAAGATATAGAGAAGAAAAACACTTGCTTTTACTATTTAATCATACTAATTGAATTTATATGTGAACTTATCTAACATTTATTTTAACCACGCAAGATGTTAGTGGTTATCTAACATTTATTTTGTTATAGCAGAGTACAGAAGTAAACTGACCTATTCCTTCTCTCTAGAGCGGTCCTCATCATTGGACTCTGTGTGTTCACAGACACAATTTCAAGGTCATTGCCAAATCTCCAATTGACTATATACTGTTGGAAAGGTTCAATTACATTTCTCAAATTAAAAAAAAAGGCAAAATAATGATGTGGAAGTAATCATGTCTCTGAGAAAATAGTGTGTAGAAGAGATCGGAACAGAATAGTTCAATTATTATCTGATGCTGAGGAGGTTTGATCCAAGGTTAATCATCATCTGCTTAGCTTCATCCTTCCACATGACTAAGTGCCTGCCTGGTGCTAGGACAGCAGAGAGAGTGGGGGACACACCAGGCTGGGATGATTGAGTGCCAGTCTCCTCTTACTACTTTTTTCATTTATTTCTGGAATGGTACCTGGAACTTTCAATAGCATTTTTAATCAGAGTGACTCCAAGTGCTTTCCAAATAGGGACATTATAAACAGAGGAAGAGAGAGAGTTAAGTGACTTGCCCAAGGTCATATAAATGGCAAAAGAGCTAGAAACAGTCCCCAGAGAGCCCCGAGTCTTTGCACAACCTCAAACTGAGGGGCGTTCCTATCAGATAGAGAGGGATCAGTGAGTCACACGTTTGCTTTTGGCTGATTGTGTGAACTAGAGACTGTAATGATGCCTTGGCTTTGCTTTTTCTTCTTTTGAAAATGAACTGGGGACCAGTTTTGCTCTTGTATTCATGGTAACAATACATTTTTATGTCAATAAGTTAGAAATGTCAAGTTCTTGACTTTTGAAATAATGGTAATTTGAGCAGAACTCAATTGAAATGGACCTCTGTTTTTGATAGAATTTTAATGTAAATGACAATTTAATTAAAGAAAAAATAGTTACTTGTTTTGAAACTTTGGCAACAACTACTTAGATACAAGTGAGTGTGTTCACTAAAGTGGTTTCCTAGGAGGTTTAGTTGTTGTCTTATTAATCATACATTTTTATTCTTTGGTACATTTTTATTGAATCTCTGTGATATTCAAAGCTCTGCACTAGAAACTTCTAGAATACAGAAGTAAAGGAAATACACATCTTGCCCTTTTGGCAGTTATAACGAGTAGGAGAGGACCATAAAAAATCACTCAGTAGAGCCTAAGGAAGGATTAAGTATCAGTGAAACAAGGTAAAACTAGAGGATTGAGAAAGCCCAGTGGTAAAGAGCATGGAACTTTGGACCCAGGAAAGTTGACTTTGAGTTCTGACTCTACTATTTGTTTATTTATTTTTTAAATTGAAAAAATTTTTTTTGGTTAATCCTCACTTGAGGATATTTTTCCCATTGATTTTTAGAGAGAATGTAA